AAGTCAGTTCATTGATGATTCAGTGATGTCATCATCCAGTTCAGTTCTCTTCCAATAGTGTCTGTGCAATCAGTCAAGTGTCCCCAACTAAGCAAGCCAAAGGCGACAGTGGCAAAGAACCAAAACTCCATTGGTGACAGAAATGGAGAAAAAACCTTAGGATAAACCAGGCTCAGTCGGGGGCCAGTTCTCCTCTGGCCTGACGAAACCAGCATGGTGTGGTTTAATTCCAGGCTCCAACACAGGTCAGATTGTGCAGAGGACTTGTCTGGTTCCCATGGTCTTGTGCCAATGATCGTCGAGGTGCAATGTCCTGCAATTTGGTCGTTCATGATATTTATATGGCCAAAAAGTCAGATGACATTCTGATAGTTTGTAATGTACCAACAAAATTTTATAACAGACCATTTACTTAAAATGCATATAAATATGAATATAAATATGAGTTAATTGTTGACAGAAAAAAATTAATACATAAAAATGAATGTAGTTTGTTGATTTTGTTAGGATAGGTAGGTTATGTCATACATACAGACAAGGCATCCATCAAATGACAACACTGAATCGGGGCTGAACTCAAACAGTGACTTACCAATAACTCAACGTTTCCTGTTAAATGGGCACTGATGCTCTTTTCACACTTTGTTTTTGACATTGACTGGTAAGAGGAGGGCCGAGAGCGACTTGAGGAGAAGCTGTATCCTTCATCACAAACTCAAGTCTGATTTTAATTCTGACTGACTTTGAAATGGCCTAAAACAAAACGAACTATCTGTGGGCACTTGTTTTTTTCTTGTCACACTTAGTTTGGTTTGACACAAGGTGGTTATGGGCACTTTCTGTTCACAGCCGTGTGGGCGATATAGTGATTGAAATGATGAACTGGTAAAAATGTTTCCGTGCTCTCTTAAAAGTAAAGGTTTCAATAGAGACTTTTCACAGTTACGCTATTAGAACAATCATTTTGGGTGAACAGTTCTTAACAGAAGGAAACAGCACAATATAGAGTTTTGCTCTGTGGATTCTAAATCTACCAGGTCACCGAAATTCCCCTGAAACAAATCTCTGAGAGACAGAGAGGTTTAATTGGTTTGGTGGAGATGCTCCATTTCAAGCAAGACTTGCGGGGTCTCTAGGGAACATATCGCGCGCGGTACGCAGCAAATTAACATCACAGTTTACGATTACAAGAACTTTCCTGGAAATATCAGTTAAGTCCTTGTTTTATTGGTGTCTGAAGTACTAGGTACCTTAGGTTACTGAATAATAGGGATGCTCCGATCCGCCTTTTTCGCCTCCGATACCGATTCCGATACCTAGGGTTCGGTATTGGCCGATACCGATCCGATACCAGTGAAGTTTTTTTCCCCCATTTAAATAAATGTAGAATTTATATATCTCTGTTTGTGGAACTGATAATCATTCTTTCACAATCTACTAGATACAGACTACTTAATTATAAAGAAAAATAAAATAAACAATAAATATGAAAAAATATAGGCCTATGTATATTTATAATCTATGAACAGCCACAGCGGAGAAAAGAGTTTGTGTGAACTTTAATGTAAGGACTTAAATATTCATATGTAGCTCACATTAAGCTATAGTATGGCTTCAGAAGTAACACAGAATAATTCGCACAATCAAGAAAAAAAAATAAAAAAGCTCGGATTTGGATCGGCCCTCTCTGACCGATACCCGATCCGAGAAAAATTGCACTATCGGAGCCGATACCCGATATGAATATCGGATCGGCGCATCCCTACTGAATAACATGTCTATGTTTGTGTTCAATTACAATCGTTTCAATAATTTTCACCTGCTTTGTCCACATTCACTGGCTTCGCCACAATAAAGGCTTTATTTGATTGTAAAGAAAACATTACCCTCAAAAATACAAATGTATAAATAATTAAGTGTTCCTTTGCAATAATAACTGAAAATTTCACAAAAACTTGTGATCTGATGCACAGATCTGTCCTATAGATGGTTCTGAGCGTCTCTGGTGACTTCTGTTCCCAGGGCTCTTATCTCACGTTATTGCCAAGCATTTTCTGGAATTTGTCCCCGAGGGCCTTATTACTCCACACCTATTGATTTGTGTGTAGTAGATGGAAAGAGAGCAAAGATAAACAAGTCAAAAGAAAGTAAACTATAGATGTACAGTATGGATGGATGTACAGCATACAGTATATGTTTCTACATTAATATTGGTGGTACCAGAGATTGAGAAAGTTGGCATCAGGACATATACCTTAAATAGTGTATATAATAATACATAGAGTTCTGTTTAAGTAATATATGGGGAAACTGGGAAAGATTGTATACTAAATTTCCATACATGGTTGGGAGTTAAATTTGCATTAATGTTTTTATTTATTTATTTTTTCCTGTTTTTAAAGTCATTTTTAAAAGATATCTATTTCAAATAAATGCTGTTCTTTTGAACTTTCTATTCATCAAATAACCCTAAAAAGGTTTCCACAATAATATTTAGGAGCAATATTAATAATAACAGGAATATTCAGTATAAATTATAATGTGTGTTGAACATCAAATCAGCATATTCAAATGATTTCTGAAGGATCATGTGACACTGAAGACTGGAGTTATGATGGTGAAAATTCAGCTTTGCATCACAGGAATAAATTACATTTTAAAATATATTCAAATATAAACTTTTTTTTAAATTGTAATAATATTTGATAATATTGCTGTTTTTACTTTATCTTTGACTGTGTTTATATATTCACTTTCGATTTCCAACATATTTGTACTAGTTTTTACATATCAGTCTTTATTCTCACATAAACTCATTTCAACGTGATTTAATAACCTTTTGATATGCAGGATTCTGCTCATGCAAATTTGTTCATGTAAGTTTTTTTAAACATTTCTCGTACCCAAAGAAGGTTGTTAGTTATTAAGGAAACAGTAAAAAATAAATAAATAAATAAAAAAAAGTTTTCAATTTACAGTCTCTCAGTCGTAGCATGTTATCATAGCCTAATGCGAGTCTGCTCTTTAATGAATTTGGTTAATTATTTACTAGTACAGTAATTAAGTTAAGTTAGGGTGACCAGATTTCTTATGGTGGAATATGGGATGGGTGGTCAAGGGGTACGGGCAATATGACCACGATGTGAGACATTTTATTTCATGCTGCTGTCCCTTTAAGACCGAACGCACACACATCTGGTTTCACCCACCTGTTTAAGTTCACTTAAGCCATAACCGACTGTATTTATGTGAGATGCTCTACACAATGATTTTGACAACTGTGTGTCTATTTGAGAATTCTTGTGCAATAGAACTGATCGCACATGCGTGCGAGAGAGAACGCGTCTGGTGTGTCATTCAGCGTGATTCCACCTATCCTGCCTTCACTAACTGCAAGTCAGTCGATAGCGAATTGTGATTGGATGGTCATTTTGTTCTACGACGAGCTTGGCTTCCTTTGATTAGGCTGTTGTAGCATGACAGAACACTACTACTACTAGCCTGCTCGCTCTGATCTCCTAGACGTAACGAAATTTTGAAATACGGGACAAAACATGATTTTTTTCTTAGTAAGTCGGGACACTAAAAATAGAGCAGAAATACGTGACTGTCCCGGGAAAAACAGGACGTCTGGTCACCCTAAGTCAGTGTTTCTCAACCAGTGGGTCGCGACCCACTAGTGGGTCGAGGATGGGTCGCAGTAGGCAAAAGGTTGAGAAACCCTGCCCTAAGTTATGTTGACTATTTCTTAAACTAAGGGAAAAGCAGAAGCTGAATCATTCAGGAAACCGTAATTGCATGATGTTGTAATATTGCGCCAGTCACATCTTCTCTGTACTCTTTGTTTTCATAAAAGACGTTTGCAGTCAGTCTTGTGTTTTTATGCCTCTGCTGTCTGTGCAGAGCTCGGCCAGTGTTTCAGCAGAAAACTGCTGTCATCAGTCAAAGCGTCTCATCAGCACAAACGCTGAACCTGTCACACTGCTCGCGGCTCAAAGCCTAAAGAGCTGAGCTCTTCACTTCACCATGCTAACTGATGAAGACTGAGAATTGGGATCGTTTGTGCTCCATGCTCATCTGTTTTTTTTTTCTTCTTCAGTGCCTGTTAGATTTTCTCCCTCAAGCTGTCTTCATTGCCTGCACAAATTACTTTCATTATTGTAAATTTCCTTTGGTAAATTTGTTTAATGCTTCTGATACTGTTCTCATTTAATCAGCCTCTCTCTCTTAGTGTGTCCAACATGCTAACTTTACTTCCAAACTATCAACTTGGCTTTTTTTTTTTTTTTCCTTTTATGAAAGAACATGAAAATATTGGGTCAGGAGGGCAACAAACGCTCAACGTGTCAGAACTTGTTATAATAATAATAATAATTATTATTATTATTATTATTATTCACAAAGTGTGCATCCAAATGTACAAAATTAACAGAAATATAATGGTTAAAATACATTCAGTACTGTGTATAAGGCAAAGTACAATCCATGTTGTGAATTATTATTATTATTAGTATTACTACTACTACATTTTACAATATTTAATTAACATTTCATATTTGTTTACTATTTATATTTATGTAAAAATATATGTTTATTTATATTATATATTTTTACTATTTATATTTATGTAAAACAACTATATATAATATTATGACATTTAATTTTGTAAATATAATGCAGCCGAAAGTATAATACATTAATTTGCATTTATTATTAATAATAATTGTACATTAATGTAGTATTACGATCTAAAACAACAATATTTGATGAAGATGATGATGATTACGTTTAATATAAAATTAGCATTTAAGTTTTGTAAATGTGATAATGCGGTCTAAATTATTATGATTATTATTAATCATGGAAACTAATGTATTGCTAAAGTTTATAGAATGCTTTTTGACCAATGGTCAGTATAGACCTAAATGGTCAGTTTTATGATCTTGCTTTTGAATGTTTCTCAGTTGTGTATGTTGAATTGTTATTTGTTGTATTTTTAGGACATACCCTATAAAGGACGTCCCAGTAGAATCAGAAGCGCTGACAGATTGGCTGTATCAGCGGTTTGTGGAAAAGGAGAAACTTCTGGCTCACTTCTACAAGACAGGTAGCTTGATAACAATCGAATTTTGTTTCCCCAGATTTGTAAATATTCATCCTCCAACTAAAACCAAACTTGCTGACGAGTTCTCTCCATGTTTCCTTCGTCTCGCAGGAGCATTCCCTCCACTAGACGGCCAAAAAGAGGTGGTCTCCCGAAATATGACCCTTGACAATGTTTGGCTGCTTTTCGTCCAAACGTTCGCCTTCGCCTCAGGCTACATGTGGTACAGCATTCTAAATCACATCTACTGCTGGTTCTTCTGACCGCTCTGAGGAGAGCGTAACGCGCAGGATGGAGGAGACCAAGATCCCCGATTGCCATTCTCCTCTGCCGGATGGTCGAATGTGTCCCCGCAGGAAGACTCGAGTTGCTGTATCCGATCGCGGTCCCCATCCTTACTTCGGACAGACACATCCACCCAATCCCAGCTGCCCGTGCAGACATGCGTTTATCCCTTAGATTTGTGTAGAACCAGTTCAACACGTTTACACCTGCGCGCTCACATGCAGAGAGAAAATGATGCACATCTAAATGTTTACTCATGCACATGTGGGCCCCCCCCCCCCCCACCCCTTTTTTTATTATTATTTTATTTTTTTTTACTTACAATCAAAATTAGGCTCAGGAATAAGCCAGAGATAGATCTGTCACGACCTCTTATTTCTCTCATGTCCTGCCACGTGAGCTTCTCCCCCTTTTTATTGTTAACTCCCAAACAGGATGACTGAAATTCGTTTCAGAGACTGCTGTCCTCTTTGGAAGAGCCTGCTCTGGCCTTCATTGCACTATGAATCCTCATGTCATTTCATCCTTGTGGCGGTTTCTTCTCGCGTTGACTGGATATTGTTGTCTGTGTGTATTGTCAGTATTGATATTCAGTGTTGTTTACACTGACTGAAGCGGGATTCGGTTTTGATGACGCGTCGCGGGAGGGCAAGGGAATTTCAAAGACTAACCTGGTTCTTGTTTTAAAACAAGGAGACTGCGTCCTCTGGAGAACTTTACACAATCGACGCCATACACACACATCCAAGCGCACCACATGACTGCCACATGACGAATTCAATAGGACAAATACCCCTCACCTCCAAAGTTTTACAAATATTAAGCCATATGCTTATCTTAGGGTCAGGGGGGGGCGGGCATTCTAATGACTGAACTTTTGTGTTTGTTCATTGTCCTAAAAAGATTTTAATTTGTTGATTTTTGAGTCTCAAACTGGTCTCATTTCTGTAAATGTTGACAGCATAACCTGCCTGTGTGATTGTGTGCGACTGGCCGTTTCTTTTTTTTTTATATTATAATTTTTTTTTTAGATGCACATAATGTCTGGTAACTTCGTGTTATATCAGAGTGTTGGCAAATATCTGTTTAATAGTTGACATTTTACTTTCTTCTTCCTCATTCTGTGGTTAATCTTGTGCAGAAAGGAGTCTGAGCTTCAGTCACTCTCTGCGTTTTTACTTCTGAAATATCATGAGTGTTTAAGAAAGACGGAGAGAAAGCAGCAAGGATCTTGGCAGGTGCATAAGTTGCTCTCAGTATCTGAGCGTCACTTCGTCTGCCGCTTGCCGTCTTCTGCGGCGGTCGTGTGGGCGCATTTCTGTTCATCAAAAGAAACCGTCTTCAAACTGCTGCCACACGGAAAGAAACGGAGGCGTAGATTCGATTTTGCGCGGAGGCACACAATGTTTTAGATTAGCTTTAGACTATCTCGAGGAAAATGGAAACGTTTTCCTCGAGCTTGACAAAATTGCGTTTTTCATGTGTGAAATTGGATCTGTTTGTGTGTGTTAGTGGCGAAGAATGCCATGCTCGAGTCCGTCTGCGTTTGCTCCTCGTGTCGAAAGGGACTATATGGGCGAGGTCCAGCAATAATGTACTCAAAAATAAATGCCCATGTTGTTTCGTTCTAAAGAAACGATGCTTAGATGTACAAATTAGATATTTGTAGATGAAAAACATTGTCATTTCCCCCCTAAGCCATGTCATCTGTGAACGTGAACTTTGTTTCTATAGCTTGCCAGATTGAAATGTGAATGACGCCAGAAGACTAAAGCCAAGTTAGATGCGGACTGCATTCAGAGCAGGCTACGTCTCCATGAACTTCACCGCGAGGATCTCAGACACTGGGTTCATGGTCTCATTCTCGCTGTGTGTCAGACTGAGACATAACATTGTTTTCCTAAGTATGGTTTTATGTTTTTTTTTAAAAAGTGTGAGATATATCTATATATTAGCAGTTTAACCAAATTACAATAGAATGGTCCATAATTTTCATTTTGTACTCCTGTTTGTCTTCCTAGCTACCCAGCCATTTTACAACACAAATTAATTGTGCTGGAATAAAAATCATGCGCAGCAGTGACCCACGGGCTCTTCTCTGAGTGTTATTGATCTGAAAGCATTCGTTGCATTTGTTCATCTCTGAATCCCTCTGATCAGACGTTTGGCTTTTAAAGTCAATGTGAATTGCAGTGTTTGTTCTTTGGAATGACGTGCACCAATGAATCGTTCATAGTAAAACGTGGATCATGCATTCGATCAATTTTGATATTTAAACATATGCCTCAGCTGCCTGTGTGTGTATATATATTGCACTTTATGTTCAGAAGAACGGCCTGAGTTGGTTCTTTCTGTGAATAGGGTATAAATAGGTTCCATTACTTCAACAATAAAAGCACAAATTCCATCTGTTGAGAGAAATATGTTAGATTTGAAATCTAGCATTGGCATAGAATTAAGCTAGTTCACCAAACATACCAACAGTAAAATGAATTCAAATGGTCATCAATCACAGTCTGTATTGATTTAATAAAAATAAAAAAATTCAGAATGCTGGCGAGACCAGTAAATGATCTCATTTCATTTTTCTTTTAGTTTACAAAATGTTCATTGAAAGTGCCCGTTGCTTTGGTTACTTATGTTCAGTACAATCATATCTAATTATTATATCTGTGTTTTGGTACATCTTAATTGTAAACTAGGTTTTTGGCGGTTGACTGAAGCAGTAGTCAAAACTTCAGCTGCAAATTTGAGCTCACACACAGGTATTAATCAAAATAATAAAGAACAAAAGCAAAAGAATGACGGTGAGAGATTTTCCACTTCTAATGGGTATATGTATATAAGTATATGTATGTTGTCCTTTATTCCTTGCTGGATTTGGTGTTCTTGGAAGCCCTCAGAAATAAATTGTAACCTATACCAGATCCAAACACATACATTTGAACGTTGACAACTACAGTGATTTAATGTTTTTTATTATTATTAATATATTTTTTTTGTTTGTTTGTTTGTTTCCACAAAGCCAATAAACCGTAAGATCGGTCTCTTCATGTGCTGTACCTTTAGCTCTTGAGTGATTGTCAATGCCTGGTTAAATAGTTTATAACCAGATGCTTGAAAATATAATGTGGGAAAGATAGAAGAGGAAAATAATAGCTCATTTCTGAAGACAAAGGGTGATGTTTTGAGGAGTCATGTCATTGGAGTTAAAATTGCCATATGTTCATACTGTCCTTTCACCTGTGACTCATGATTGATTATAGCTATATCCATTCAAATGAAGTTATCTTCTCTAGGTCTTTCAGGCTGTTCATATCCTGTAAAGCCTTCCAGTGGCAAGAACTGTAAAGGGCTTCATGTGAACTTTGGCCTTGCCACACCCAGACCCGTTCAGCACCATAAACACACTGCTTCCACCAAGCGGACAAACAGTCAATGTGCAGTACATACAGTTTCAATAACTAAGTAACGGGCGCACAAGTCAGTCTGCAGACGGTACGTTTCTCAGAAGCAGCCTATTTTTGTTCAAATAAAGGAAACCATGTGGAGCGCGTTGGAAGAAATGCTAACTAATTATTTAAAGCTATGTTTTACTTTAACATAGCTTTACTTCAAACCCGTTCCGTGTTCGTTCTTTATACGCCTGTCCCTTTAAGAATCAGCCTCCCGCTGTTTCCGGGCGTTCTCGCGGTTCTTCAGCGCTTGGCAACGTGCAAGCTGTGTCCTTATACGGACCAATGAGATCACCGCCAACGACCATGCCCAGCCAATCAGAATCCAGAGTTTGTGCGCACGTTTGAAAATCAGCCTGCTTGTTTCACGTCTGTTTGTGTCGGAGCACAAACAAAAATCTATAACGTTTTTAAAAATTAAAACGATAAAAGACAGCGGAAGTCAAGCAGACGAGTGACCAGAAGTGAATGAATCGCGGTGAGTGGACTGATGGAATGAATCCTGCTGTGTTTGTTAGTAGAGTTTGCACATAAATGGCGTTAGCTGAGCTCTGTTGTATTGGTCTGAAGGCAGGAGCTGCTGCTGTGTGCATGATGCCATCCAGAACTGAAGACTATGAGGTGTTGCTCACCATAGGATGTGGATCTTATGGGAAATGCCAGAAAATCAAGAGGAAATCAGATGGAAAGGTTAGTAAAATACAGATCGAACTCCGTTTAGCATGTGTAGTGTGATGTATATGTAGGTAACTGTCGTATATGTATGTATAAGTTTGGGATCAGTAAGATTTGTAATGTTTTTTTTTTTTAAGAAGTCTCTTCTTCTCATCATGGATGCATTTGTTTGACCAAAAATACAGGAAAAAAAGTAATATTGTAAAATATTATTACCATGTAAAATAATGGTTTTCTATGTTAATGTACTTTAAAATATAATTTATTTCTGTGATGCAAAGCTGAATTTTCATCAGCCATTACTTCAGTGTCACATGATGTTTCAGAAATTACACTAATATTGCTGATTAGGGATGGAACGATTACCGGTTTCACGATAAATCACGATAAAATGCCCTGACGGTTAGTATTACCGTTTAAAATGTAATTATTGTGTGTGAACCTGTGATACTGTTTTCAGGATTAGGCTATTTGATTAATAAAGTTAAAAAGAACAGAGTTTATTCAAAATGGATATATTTTCTGACAATATAAGTCTTTATTATCACTTTTTATCAATATAACGCATCCTTACTGAATAAAAGCATTCCTTTCTTTAAATTTTTTTTGAAAGAACTGACCCTAAACTTTTGAACAGTAGTGTATATTGTTACAAAAACAATTCTATTTTTGAACAAATGCTGTTATTTCTAACTGTTTATTCATTAAAGAATCCTGAAAAAAGTATCACAGGTTCTAAAAAAATATTAAGCTGCTCAACTGTTTCCAACATTGATAATAAATCAACATGTTAGAATGATTTCTGAAAGATCATGTGACACTGAAGACTGGAGTAATGGTGCTGAAAATTCAGCTTTACATCACAGGAATAAAGTATATTCAAATAGAAAATCATTATTTTAAATTGCAATAATATTTAAAAACATTACTATTTTTTCTGTATTTCTGGTCAAATAAATGCAGCCATGATGAGCAGAAGAATCAACTTCAAAAAACATTACAAATCTTACTGATCCCAAACTTTTCAACGGCAGTGTGCGTGTATATTTATTAGACCAAAGTGTGACACCATTTGTTTGCAGATGCTGTTTGCGGTGATATTTTGTGATCTAGTGCAGTGAAATTCATCATTTTACCTAATGTTTAAATAATTTAGGTTACTGTGAGTTTTCACATTGTAGTCATTGGTGTCTCTCTTCCTGCTGGTTAATTTGGATCATGTCATCTGATCTCTTTAGATTCTGGTTTGGAAGGTGCTGGACTATGGCACCATGGCCGAGGCAGAGAAACAGATGCTGGTGTCGGAGGTCAATTTGCTCCGTGAGCTGAAGCACCCAAATATCGTCCGATACTATGACAGAATTATAGACCGGACAAACACAACATTATATATAGTGATGGAGTACTGTGAGGGTGGGGATCTCGCCAGCCTCATCAACAGATGCATCAAAGACAGGTCAAATTATGCTACTCGGTGTTTCTACAGTCTTAATTCACCCTTCCACAATTAAAAAATGAATTAAAAAGTAATAGAGATCAGTAGGAAGTTGTGTTTTCAAACTTTAGAGTGTTTTAAGTAGTGGTCGACCGATATTGGTTTTTTGACAGCCGATGCCGATATCTTGGAAAGCAGGGTGGCCGATATAAAGCCGATATAATTGTATTTATTTTAATTAATATTTAAGAAATTTGAAATCATTTGAAAATGGATTAAAAAATAATTATGTTAAATAAAAATACTTATACTTTAGATGACAAAGTATTTTTCACAAATAAATAAATATTTAATAAAAATATAATTAAAAAGGAAGTAAACCGTAACCAACAGAGCACTCCGTATTCTGGGAAGTTTGTGTGCATTGGGAATCATATTTTTTCAAATAAAGCCAAGGTAACACTCATTTTACATACAGCACACAGTGAAAATGACATGAATATGACAGTGGGCAAATGCATAAAGCGCTGCATAATTTGAAATCACAAATTTAATGTTTAAAGCATTCAATTTGCACGAACCGAAAATCACGCAGAGAACACGCGATCATGCAGGTCACATGCACGCTTCACAAGATCTCACAACTGGATTCGACTAAGTTTGCAAAGGTTTGTGAAATTAAATTTTCATTAGCCATTCAAAGATTTGTTTAAATGATGTAAACCGATATTTGAAAAATGCCAAATATCGGCCGATATATCGGTTTTGGCGATATATCGGTCGACCACTAGTCTTAAGTGTCTTTCAATCCTTAAAGTCTTACATTTACCTCCATAAAACATGCAGAAACCCTGCTACTGTTATTTTGTTGTTCAAGCTGTTTTCCTGCATTACTGCAATGTTGGTTTGTTACACTTTCTTTCCAGACGGTACCTAGAAGAAGAATTCATCCTACGTGTGATGGCACAGTTGTCCCTGGCTTTAAAAGAGTGCCATGGTAGAAGTAACGGCAGCAGTACAGTTCTGCACCGTGACCTGAAACCCGCAAACATCTTTTTGGATGTCAAACAGAATGTAAAGCTTGGAGATTTTGGTTTAGCTCGGATACTGAACCATGATACAAGCTTTGCTAAAACATTTGTTGGAACTCCATATTACATGTCGCCGGTAAGTGTCCTTTCATCTTTCATTTAAATGTGAAAGAGAAAAGATGGAAAATTATGAAAATATAAATTGACCTGTAATAATTTCCTGTTAAAAGTCAGTAAATATATAAATAAAAATCACTGGGATTGTGAGGAGGGAAAATGGGCTTCACAGGAACAGATGCACAAGTGCAGCAGAACCCTTAAAGCAATAGTTCACTCAAAACTGAAAATTAATTTACTATTTTTTTAAATTAATTAATTAGTAAATTAATTGACCTCTTCACTGATATTTCTTTGAACAACGTTTACTCAGAATTTGTAAATTTCATAATTAAAAAGAAATGGCATGTAACATTGAATTAAACATGACATTTTGAAGTAGAAAGAATGAAAAAGTATTTTCTTGTAAAACATCTTTATTTAACTTCGAAAAATTACTTCTTACAGTGGGCGACTGACTTTCTTCTGCAAAACACACTCACAAAAAAAAATATTTTGATGAATGTTGGTAACCAAACACAAACATTTTTAATTGCAAACTGTACTGCAGTCATAAGGGTGAGTAAATGAATGACTGAGTTTTAGTTTTTGGGTAAACTATATCTTTAAGTACATTTTTACAGACAAATGTTATACACACTGATGTCATAGTGTGCATTTTGACCCAACCCTCCTCGAGAACACTCCTGGGGGACTGGAATGAGTCCAACCTAAACAAAAAAAGGTTTTGAATTGCATTTGAGAAACTGTTGTTAAATGTTCATGTCATGGCATGCAGAAGTAATTATTTGTGCCACAGATTCATCATGATAGTTCTTATTGTCAGGACTTGGCTGTGTCTGTTTTATTCATATTTGCCTGCTTTTATATTCACAGGAACAAATTAATCGCATGTCCTACAATGAAAAATCAGATATATGGTCTTTGGGATGTTTACTCTATGAACTATGTGCTTTATCGTAAGTATACATGTATTTTTATTAGGGATGGGCGTATCGATCCGAAGTATCGATATATCGATACTGACGCGAGTATCGAAAGTATCGATACTCAAACAAAAAATATCGATACTAAGGTGCGTTTTATTTACCAGTGGTTTTGTTTATTTAACAAATATAACCTTTGTTAGCGAGTAATTGTGTAGGATAGAACTATTTTCCTGCCCATCTGAACACATGCAAATGTTGCAAGACAGAACCAATCACTCACAGAGAGCATTAACTCACTGCTGACAGTGCATTCAAACAGGGCTGCGTTTCCCAAAAGTATCATAAGAAAGCATTAAAGCTTTTGGGAATGGCAGCCCTGAACAATGCTTATCAGAGGACAGAAAAAAAAACATAAATGTTTGAGTTATTTCACAATAAACAAATTGAAATTAGCCTACATAGTTTGTGCAATTACATTTATTGAAATTGAAATAATATGTGGTTGTAATTGTTCTCTGTCAGAGCTGAGAGCTTGTTGAAGGCGTATAATTTGATCCGGCAGCAGAGGGCGCTGTCTCTACTCAGTGCCAGTGACACAGGTATAAAACCATTTAATGCTATATAGATGAGGGACCATATGTTGTTTTCTTATTTCAGTGCTCTCTGTTAATGCTCAAGGTTAAGTGTCTGGTATATGATTATATAACTCTACTGGTCAAAAATTTGGAATAATTACAATTTTTTAAATGTTTTTGATAGGGCTATTATGCTCACCACGGCTGCATTAATTTGATGAAAAATACAATAAAGTTGTGAAATAATATTATTATAATTAAAAATAACTGTTTCTATTTTTAATATATTTTAGAGTGTAACTTATTCCTTTGATTTTAAAAAGATGAATTTTCAGCACTCATTACTCTAGTCATTATGCCTCAATTCACTGTATTCAAATTATTTAAACTTCACTTTAAATGATGAATTGCACTAGATATTTTACTGCAAATTATAATGGTTCTTATGATTTTCAATGTTGAAAACTGTTTTTGCTGCTTTATATTTTTGTGGAAACTGAATTAATATTAAAAACAAATATTAAATCTCACCTCAGACTTTTGTATGGTAATAAGCAGCAAAAACTTTTTCAACATTGATAGTAATAAGAAATGTTTCTTAAGCGGCAAATTAGAATGATTTCTGAAGGATCATGTGACACTGAAGACTGGATGGAGGATGCTGAAAATTCTGCTTTGCATAACAGGAATTAAATATAT